TGAGTCCATCTGGAAGCTGCGCTCAGTCACCGGCAGAGTTTCGCGGCGCGTTTGCAGAGGGTCAGAAAACAACAACGCGGGAGTAGGTCAAGGACGTCCGATTTGACGAAGGCGGACAATAAGTGAGACATATGATTTCTGGTGTGTTGGTTTGCTCTGCCACTGCTTCCACCTAGACATCTAAATGACTGCAAGATCAAGTTAGTTTTCGCATGGCGCATTGTACAAGGTGCCCCCACTGCAATGTGGATGATCGCCGCCAGCCATATTGGGACAGCTTCGCCGTCAACATGTTGAGAGAGAGAGAGAGAGAGAGAGAGAGAGAGAGAGAGCCCAAGGTGGATGGCCGAAGGAGTTGGGTATGGCCTGGTAAGACAGACTCGAGGTTGACTGAAGAAATAATGCGGGTGGTTGAAGCTTGAAATGACTCCTCTGCTCCGTACTGCCAGCGGATGTTGCAGGAGTAAAATGACGAAGGAGGGGCAGCGACAGCACACACCAAGCGAGAGGTACGTATCTTTTACATGGTGATGTTGAACGGGTGCGGCGGTACGTACACACAGCAATGAGAGCAGCTGTTTCCTCTTGAGGGCAGTTGCCAAAAAAAGACACACTCTCCACCATCAAGGTCCCCCTACTCCGTGTTCAACTCTGTGATTGGCAGTTCTGACCTGAGGAGTCCCTTCCTGCGTCTTCTCCTGTGTGCCTTCCTGCTGCGGCAGCGTCCTTAGGTAAGGTGTACTGTTACATAATCAGGTTCAGCCACTCACCTCTTGTTGCCCGTGGTAGCAGCCCAGTCCCAAAAAGGTCTAGCGCTCTGCCACGACAAGGGGCGACAGGGGGCAACCCGCAACAGCAACAACGACGACCACACACGCCCGTCTCCCACACGCCCACTCCACGCCCACTCACGCCTGACCGACATCAACATTGCACCGACCTTTCCCTTTCCTGTCTTGTTCCCGTCCTGTCCCAGCCATGCCCAGCAGTGTGTCCAGTCAGTCCAGTCCCTGAAAGTGTCGCCGACAGCGAGCGTGCAGATGCATCTCTCTTCCGCCGACATCTCGACACCGACGACGACGACGACTTCGACAAACAGCGACCACGGCCACCGATAATCGACCAACAACAACGGGCACCAACCACCCCGACCGACGGCGATACAGGTAAGTCCTCGCCGCCCAATATCGACATCGACAACCACCCACGCGACAATCCGGGACCCTTCTATTCTTCCATTTCGACTTCGTCCTTTTGATACCACACCCCCAACCCCCCAAAACAACAACTTTGGAGTCGGTACGTGCCATATTTTGAACCCTCGATCGCGTCGGATTTGGAAGAGCGATAGGAGGCTAACGACGACCTACCAGCACGCACTTGACGACTTTTACGATCATTCACATCGACGACTACAATTTTCATTTGTATCACTTCAACAACTTCAACTTGCGACCGCAACAAGTGCCCCCCACTCTGCACCTTTTGCGCCCACAACCAACCACCCTTACTCACCCGATAATCGCCGAGCATCACATGCGATCCGAATAAACATCGCGACGGCGTCACAATCACAACAGCCATGGCAGAGCCACCATCCTCACCGCCCAGCGAGGCGATGAGCCCCGACGACCAGCTGCGCTGGTACAAGTCTCAATACGCATCACTTGAGGAGGAACTGTCGGAGTTCAGGGAATCCAGCAAGGAGCTAGAACAGGAGCTCGAGAAGGACATCGAACAGGCCGAAAAGAGGGAGCGCAAACTCCAGGAAAAGGCAGAGAGCCTCAAGTTCGAGGTCGAAGAGTGGAAGGTGAGATCACACCCGCCCCGCCCGTTTCCGCTTGTCGGCGCGCATATCACATATCGAGAGACGTCCAGGCCTGACTCACTTGACCCTGCAGTCGAAATATAACCAAGCCAAGAAGGATGCGAATGCGGCTCAAAACACCCTCGAGAAGGAAATCACGACCCTGCGAGACACCAACAGGACACTCCAGCTCAAGCTCCGCGATATCGAGGTTGTCAACGATGATTTCGAGAGACAAGCACGAAACACCAGCTCGTCTCTCGAGGACCTCGAGTCCAAGTTTAACAGTGCAATCGAGCGCAACGTCATGAACGAGGAGGAGATCAGGATCGGCGAACAGGAGCGAGAGACGCTGCGCATCGAGGCGCAACGCCTGCGCGAGGAGCTTTCCGACCTCAAGATCGAGGCCGAGCTTCTCCAGGACAAGATCAAGAAGCAGGAGCAACGTCACCTGTCCGCAATTTCCACCGACCTTTCTGTCCTTTCATCCCCCGTTTTCGACAAGACTCTGGACGCCTCCCCGGGTTCGACTGCGAGCTCGCCCATGGTATCGACCCCGCCCGATGCCGAAGCCCTTCCGGCTACCAAAACCGCCCAGATCAGCGAGCCTCCATCCCCGCCAATGTCCGACGTCTCTGCCTCTGTGCCGAAGAGGATCGTCTCCCGAACACCCCTCAAGACCCCTGCCAAGACTCCGGCATCGGCGACTCGCAAATCGCGTCTGCCGTCTACCGAACACAGCATCACGCCGAAGCCTCGTTCCTTCACGACATCCGTCAGCAGCAGCCGGCCGTCTGGAGGTCGTCCCTCCACGGGGGCACCGACTCGGACGCCTGCCCCTCGTACCGCCCCTCGCTCCATCTCTACGCGCATGCCACCAAAGCCTGCCAACAACTCTCTCGCCCACATTCGAACTCTCACGGCTCAGATGCAGCGTCTGGAAGCTCGCGTACATAACGCACGATCAAAGCTCCCTGCCCCTGTCACAACACCCCCTCGAGCTTCACCCCGCTCCTCGGTTCTCGGAGTCCACAGCGTACCGTCAACGGTTACTATCCGCTCACGCAAGCGTCCCAGTGGCTCCACCTCCTCATCAGTCCGGGGTGACGACACTACGCCATCCAACCCCAACTTCTCTGCCAGCACAAGATCCAAGCATGTACCTCGTCTCAGCACGTCAGGTGTCAGCCGCCTGTCTTTTGGCCCGCTACCGAACCGGAACCCAACGGCTGGTCACGAACACAGCGACTCTACAATGTCTCGGCCGAGCTCACGGGCTAGCATCTCGTCATACGCCAGGCCATCAAGTCGCACAGAAATGGCACCGCCCCGTCCCATCAGCCGCACCAGTATGTCAGGTACCCGGACACCCCTGGGCCGTCCTCGTAGCTCCCTGGGTGGCAACCTGCACGCGCGCTCTGCTAGTATCAGCAGCCGCATCGACATTGAAGAGGGCGACGAGAATGGCGAGTTCAGAACACCTAGCAGGAGGGGCACATATTCTCGCCTTGAGGCAGAAAACTCCGTGAGCGGTATTCCGGCCCCCACCAGCGGCATTCCGATGCCCAGTGGAAGGCGGCAAAGTGGCGGAAGTGTCTCCGGGAGACGAAGCTCAATGGGCCTGAGGAGTTCCATTATGGGCGCTCAGGATCAGCTCGTCGAAGAGGAGACGTACTAAACTGGCTTGCTTGAGAACTACAAGAGGAGGAATACTTGATACCAACAGAACAGCATCGCTGCTTCTGACTACTTGGCCCGGTGCATACGCAGCCGGGCTATGGGCAGCTGCATCATTACAGCGAGCAACATACATACCCTCATTTTCAACAGAGAAGAGAGACAGAACGTCTCAGTCTTCTCTTTACAACTATTTTCTTTGTCCATTGCTTCTTCATGACTACGGGGCTTCCAGGGCAGGCGTGTGGATACAAACTGCTGCATCCGAGGCGTTGGTATGATTCTAGGGTTTCAAACGGGGGATACAGCATGGCGGTGCCTCTTTTGGGTTTTTCTCACTGTCTTTTCACAAACGGGGAAATACCTTTTTTTGACACGCAAGCAAACTGTTACTACTCACTTTTACTACTACTACCGAACAAACACCCGCAAACAACAACAACAACCCCCAAGATCCATTGAACCATACCTTGGTCTGAATATACTGGTTTATTACTTCACGTTTTAGTGCTTGAGAACTTGAATATCCGTGAGGCAGATGATTGGGAGGGATGGGTGGGTGAAGGCTGTGAGGGTGAGGACGGGATGAATAAGCGTTGGCCGAGGATGGTTGACATCTTCCAAAGCGAGAAATGGCGATGCAAAGGTTTGGCTGTCTAGATTGAAGGATGCGATTCTTGAAGGTATTCGGACGTATCCGAAGTTCCTCGCATAATCGCGCCACGATCGGTCCTCGGCGCATGGACTGAGAAAACGGGATATGAATCAAGGCTGTGTAAACACGGCTTGTTTGTAAACGAAGATGAGATGGGAAGAAGGACATGTGATGTTTTACTTGGAGGAGTTGATCACCGATTCGGCGTTGGTCGGGGTAGAGTGGGACGCGTTTGAGCCGACCGACCCCGCGCCGGTGAGGGGTGGACCATCCGCCGTCCGGTTCCGTTTGTGGAGGGCCGAATTGGGGGAGCCTTGCGTGATATTTGCCGATTAGATTATCAGCCATTTATCTCCCCCTGGTCCTCAGCAAATAAATGGATAGATGATTCTTGAAAAAAATAAAACGGAGAATTTTCCAATTACCAGGCTCCGACCGATCAGGCGTGCCTGGCTATCATGTCACTCTTTGTTCTTCTCGGGTGTGTGTGTGTGTGTGTGCGCGCGTGTGTGTCTGTCGTCTGCAAGAAGATCGATCCCATCAAACACAACAAACAAAAAGCAGACAAATAGATGGAAACAAAAGATAAGTTCCCACACCGAGGTTCGAACTCGGGTCTCTCCGGTAAGTTTTCAGGGGAATAAACGACTGAAAGCGGAGTATCCTAACCACTGGACTATATGGGAGTGTTTGGTTGCCGACCTTGATGAGGTCGTGGTGGACTCGGTGCTGCGATGGGTCTAAGTCCTTGGTGATGACGACCAGACTTCTTAGCTCGCCACTTTAGAAGACAGATGATGGGGTCTGTATGGTATTTCTTAGTTGGGAATTGAATTGAGATGGTTTGAGCAGGGTTTTCTATTGCAATTGAATATTCTCAACGAACGTATTAAGGACAGAAAGTTGGACCAAAGAAGCGTGAAATTCAATCTTGGATTGTTAAGTTTTTTTCACCGCAGATTTTTGTAAATAAAAAACAAACCTTTAAAACCTGTAAAAGTAACCAGCTCCCCACACATTCCTCGAAATGACGGATTTCCGCATGAAATATCTTCAGAGTCATCATACAAACTCTTCCAACTAGTTTGAAATGAATTCTCAGGCTTTCCGGGGATACATCGTCGATGGATGCCAGCGTGTGCAGCAAAAGAACCACAGCACACATGTCACAACGCCCCCACCACCCCCAATAAGATGAAGCCATCTCGCGACACAGCAAGTCGTGTCAGGCATAACGAAACAATCAATATTGGTGACTTCCGGTATTTCTAGAGATAGTCGTCATGCTGCAAGTTGAGCCGCCGAACTCAAGTGACCGACTAACTTTGGTCATCAACAGCGACAACCTCCACTACCAAGGCTAGTAGACACCGGAAGAAGCCGCACCCTCCAGCCTCGCCCAATGACACCAATGACGCTCAAAGAAGATTGATATACATTGCCGCGTGATCAGCACGTTCACCCCACAGCGCCTTTGCCTTCAAGATGCAACTTATTCACGTGTTGGACGACTAAGCAACCACGATAGTAGACGTACTTGAGTGAAGATCATCGGGATATAGCCGATCCTCAAGCTAGTAGACAACGTCACTCATACCTAGAGTAAGTGTACACGTGAAATAAGATGCGCACGTCGAGAGACCTGGAAGAATCTCACGCGCAGGTCTCGTCTAGACGAGTCTATTCGTGGCCAAGTGGCAACACCAATCCGCAGATCTAGCTCCCATCACACATGACATTTCCACACGTCATCGTAGTGTAACACTTGATTATGGCATTTCATAAGGGCAGTTCAAGTACTGTAAGCTTCCTCGTCGGATAAACTCTCCCCAATTGATCCACCCTGGGATTTGACCTGTGATTCTCAACTTTCAGAGACATACATCACCGAGGATTCGATAGACACATCATACATCATACCTTAAACATACTTAAAGCAGCTGCCGGTGATGTCTGACTAGAATCCAGAAACAGAACCACATCCGGGGCCGCGGCTCCGGTGCTGACTCTTTGTTTCATTGCAGGTTTCTGCCCCAGCAAAGTCCTAACATGTGCATGCAGAATCACATTTGGTGGGTCACTCTTCAGACATCGATACATCCCAAGGACCGGAGCTGCAGAGGAAACCATCCCAGCTTTGCAACTTTGACGTCCACTGGCCATCAAAAGGTAGCTTGCGGGGTGCGCAAAATAGGTGTGCTCCCGTCCATCAAATAAAACATTCGTCCCAGTGTCGGCTTTGGTTAGGACTTGGCCCCATCTTACCCAACTGCCACGGGCGACATGCCAAGTAGCTAAGCCTTCTGAACGTTGCCTGGCTAAACTTACCGTGCAGATGCGGTCTCAGTCAGAGAGACGGTTGACTACAGCGATGATGCACGTGCCTGCAAGCCCAGTTCGGACGGGCAAGCTAAGACCGGCGTTCAAACCCGCTCGAGACACGATGCGGTCGGCAGTCGAGCTGCAGGGCACAGTCCTGTGCGACTCTCCTCCTAGGATGTAGGCGCCTTGATCGAGGAAGTGTCGATGTATTTGTAGGCAACGGCGTTATGACAGAAGCTTGCATATGCCTAGGGAGATCTATAGATTCCCTCGAACCAGTGTCCCGTTAATGGTGCTGGTAAATCCAAGGGTCAGCAAACGCCGTCTCACCGGCGCTGGCTCCTGGCCACCGGCGTCACAGGTCGGAGCTGAAGGGGGAAGCCTGGCTATTATTAGGGGCACGAGCCGTCCGTCCGCTCCGGCTAGGAGATGGACGTTGATGGTGGGGGCCGTCTTATTTGGGGAGTGCCGTCTCTTAGAGATAAAAAAAAAAGGACGAAGGATGATGGGCGGAAGTGGGCGCGTCAGATTACGCGCAGTACGTCCCCAGCTTTGACAGAATCGGATCTGCTCGCCCCATCTTTAGCGCGGCCAAGTAAGGAACTGTAGGGAGCTAGTGTAGCATCCGCTCTGCTCTCCGAACGAGGCGCCGAGGACGGGACGGACTGAGGGGCCAATGCTGGGTGATATCCTCGCTCTGGGGCGTATTGGTGTATAGATACAGATTGTATCCTCTGGCCTGGGGATATGATGGGGACAAGTACTCTATTACGGTGGGAATGGGTCAACGGAAGTCCGCGCCATATTGACGGCTAGCCGTGATGGTTGCGTTGCCGTGGATGGGATGGGCCGGGGAATCTGGATACGTGGCGGACGACCTCGGCCGCAATTAGATGGTGGAAGGGAAGTTTCGGGTTCGCAGTGGCGGCAACGGCAGCAGCATTGAGACGGACGCCTTCAGGCTGCAGAGAAGCACTGCGTGTTGAAGTTGAGATTAGCTAGTTGGAAACCACGGAACTAAGCAGGCCTAGGTGACCGTACCATGGGATTGGTTTTGAAAGGCGTTCGTCCGCGAGGTGGCCTCTCCCTATCACTGTCGGAATTCCACCATCGGTAGCTTCAGTCATCAATAGCATAGTACTGCGGCACGTTGGTAGCATTTTGGGTTTCTATCCCTAGAGCATCTATGGCTGCAGCTGACGACTGAGGCTGCGAACCCCCTGCTGCTCCAGGTGTAATTCAAGACTGAATCGATATTGATGTCGTTGGCGCCGGCGGGTTGGCTGCAAGCCGGGTGGAGACGGGAATGGAGCACGGGCTCCGCAGATGGACGGACAAGATGTTGGGGATCTGCGGGTGGAGATTTTCTCTTTTGGTCTGGCGGCTGGTTGGCAATGGTTTTTCTCCCCCTTCTTCGGTGCTCTCTTCTCCTTCTATGGGTGGGGGCTTGGTTGTTTTCGTGAGTTTGCTATTGGTGCTTGGTGAACCCCTGGCATTTCTTGAAGGGGCCCAGCGAAGGCGACCCCCAAATTGTGTCCCAAAATCCCAATTGTTGGGGGAACCGACATTTACCGTCGACGTGGCCCGGCAAAGCTCATCGGCGGCGGCACTGGTGTTGGTGGTGGGAGGCAAGGCCACTGGCCGGGGCCTAGCAATCCCGGCTGCTATCAGCTTGACGAGGACCCCCTATCGGGTTGGACTGGTGGTCTCTTGGCCTGGCGCTTGGCTTGGTTGGAATTTTACATGTTGAATGGTGAAGCTCTTCCCCAAGACCTTGCAGTCTGGAGGAATGCAGGATGCGAAACTGAAAAGAGCGATACTTTGGCGTGGTTCGCGCGGTCTGCCCCATCCGAGACACCAAAGGTTTAGACACGAGCGTTTGGCCACTGAGTGAGTGCCAGTCCAAGCCAGCAGATGAGACTGAAAGTTGGGACGCCGGTATTTGCCCTGTGTGCCCTGTATTTGGTCGTTCAGCGGGCAGTTTCCGTCATCTTTGGCTAGTGTAGTAGTGCTCGACGGGACCTGATCTGAAGCCTGCGCGGTAGGCTCTGCAGAAGGCCAAGGAGATATTAGGTCGGTAACGTTGGGTACCTGGCCCGTTCTGTGCGCTGCGTAGGTACAAATATCCGTACTGCATAGGACTAGCGGAAGCTGATGGACGTCCCCGGACGGAGAACCGGCGAAGCTAGGCGGTTTAGAGGTGCGTAAGCGAGTCGACAGTTACTCGTAGGTTGTTGAGGCTTGCACCCCCTGACGACCTGGGCGACGCCTGACTGACCGCCTGCGGAATCGGGTATAGGCTGCAGGGGTGGTCGAAGGGGGACACCCTGATGGAGCTTTTCTGATGAAACTTGAAGGAGGCCTGTCCATTTCTTCCATACTCCCAGACTTTCAGTGCCGGGTGACCAGAAGTCGGGGCCGATGAAAGATGGGATGCGAATTGGGACGCAAGAGATGCGCGCATTGGTCGTGTCGGGGCTCCTGGACCCGTAGAGGACTGCAAGGGGACTCTGTGGAAGTGTTTGCTTGCTGGGGCCGGGGGTGTCAATGGCGCTCTCGAGCTGTGGGTGTCGGGTCTGGGTGTAATTATACGGCGTTGATGAGGTTGACGATCGGTGTTTTAACGGCCGGCGGTGCGGTGCGGCGGTGTCAGAGTGTAGTGACAAGGTGCCATTGGATCGTGGCAGTCAGGCAACGCAACAGCTTTCGGACATTGTTTGGAGATGCCGTCGGGGTTCGGTGGTGGCAACGATGGCTGACCCGGTCCGATCCTCCATCAGCTTCAGGCCCCTCGGAGGGTACAACAGGGTGCAGGAGAGAGATCACACGAGCTGGATTTGGATGTAATTGTGGCATTTCGTATGGATAGCGTCGCGTGTCACGACCAGCAATGCAAGGTATCTAGAGATTGGGATGTGGTATTGAAGAATAAGGTAGAGTCTACAGGGCTTGCGGTGACGAAATGGTTGAGAAATTGCGCAACAGCCGAAATCTCGAGGTGCAAGGCAAGGAAGGAACGCGGCAGCAACGCGCGGAAGGAGCTTTGGCCTAAAAGTACGTATCTATTGATAAGGCCAACGATAACGTCCCGACGGCTGCAGGTGGAGACCCAGGTACTCACAGGTGCAGGGGAACTTGCCGCAACAGAAAGAAAGAAGATGCGAGGAAGAAGCTGTGAGACCGGACCAAACAAGGAGCCTTGATTGGAGAAGGAGAAATATTGCTGGTCCAAATCTGAGGAGAAACGAAAAAAAATTAAAAAATTAAAATAAAAAATTTACAGCGGCAGAATTCCCTGCTGGAAAAGAATAGGTGGAAGCCAGGTGCGCTACTTGACGGGATCGGTACCTGAAGCCCCGCCAAGGTAGCCGTACCGGCGAAAGTACCTTTTCCTTCCACGGTAGGTAGTCCAATGCTCCCGCCGGGTACGTACCGAAAACCAGGGGCTGCGGATGCAGGTTGACGTTTGTTTCCTCACAGTTTTTCTCAATGCCAAGGATCTGTTTTGTTGCTGGTCGATGTTCATCTTGAACTTTGAAGTGACAGCTTTGGGAGGGGAGGCAACATTACCCAACCCAACCCAATCAACGAATTGCGATCGAACCTTATCTTCCTGGGGGGCTGGGCTGGAGTTGCAAGGGAGCCATCAGTTCAAACCATCCGAAAAAGGCTGAGAAACACAACGCCCAGGCCGTGATCTGTGATTCTGGAGGGCAAACTAGTGCATGTACATAGTAGAAAAAGAGAGACTTGGGAGTGAGACTTGAGAGACATTGCCTTACCTAAGCCCAGGTACATCTGGGTACGGAGTAGTGGAAGGTACTTGGGCATGGACAAGGACTGGTGCAGCCCGCTGGCCCGCCCACCCTTGGGCAGGAGCTCCCCCAACACCCCGGCCATTGGTTGAGGGAGGGGGGCAGAATCTCAGCCGGATAGATGGATTGGGGGGATTTTGACAGATGGGGAGGCAAGGAGTGACCGAGGGAATCAGGGCCTGGAAGAGTGAATAATGCATTGCTAACGTGGAAAACTGCGAGCATCCATCCAGCCGTGTTCTGTAGCCATCCATATTCAGTGTAATGGCAGTCCTGCTGGTACTTCGTAGTCCAGGTGAGGATACGGTGTAAGCAGGCCGGAATTGGATGTGAGGAAGAGATCCGACGTACACTTGGAGTACACAGACTTCATCATATGTAGACTTGCTGGTAGTGCGGTGCCGGGCCAAAGCAGGAGCAACTACCTATTCGTAGAAAGATCAGGTATCGCCAGGAACAAGAGCAGGAGCAAGAGAAGGAACCAGTCCTTGGGTCTTGCCCAAAGTCAAGTGGCCCTTGCTGGTCTGGTCTCAGAAAATGGCGATGCGCGTTGAACGGGTAGTTTTAGCTGAGGACGATCTTGCCTACTTGCCTTTGGGAAAAACTTGGTGATGGTGGTCCGTCACCCGTCGGAGTGAGGTATTCCCGGTACATGCACTTGGGTACCTTTAGAAGTACCTTTTCTGGACTTGGCACGTACCTTACTCTCTCCCACGTTCTCCATCCCGGGAAACCTGCCATGCTCCTCCATCGACCATCGACAGACATACGGCGCAACGAGCACCGACAATAGCAAGCAACCAAGCACGATGCACCAAGCACCGAGACCGACGCCGTACACATACACATTGACAGTGACATAGTGGCTGCTTTGAAGCTTCGTCCGCGTCTTGGTCCCCATGGCGATGCCCGGTGCTTTCGTGCCATCGTCAAGAATGGAAATCACGTATAACAAGTGAACCTCGCCGGCCCTATCGTGTCTATTGCCTCTTTCTCTTGCCTGCTCTCTCCGCCCCGCGTCGTCCCATTACTTGGCCTCCCCCTTCTCCTTCTTTTGTCTCTATCTCCATCTCCCGACGGGGCCTCTCGTCGTTGTTATTATATTCTCCGGGTACTTGTCAGACCCTCCTACTATATCTCCTTTCTCATACGGATACGGATCTCCTAGAAACCGATAGCTCCTCACCCAGGCAGGTGGCAGTGTCGTGGGAACATCTAATCACAAGCTTCAGGCAGGGAAACCAACCGTTTCGTTCAGATTCAGCTTCCTTGGACTTCTCACGAACAAGTAACAAAACCACCAAAAACACCACAGTACGGTACCTCTGAATCTACTGCAAGCCAGAATCCATACTCTTCCCGTCCTCTTCCTTCACCAGATCGATCCTTATCCTTCTCCTCTCCGTCCCGGTCTTCCGTCCTCACCTAACACGGCCCTTACCTGAGCATTTCCCGAGTTTCCTTGCCCTTCCTTTCCCTCTCACAAAAACATTACGGTACACCGTACAGAGTATACACCCCCCTCCCCATCGCAGACCCCACACATTTTTCATCCCGCCCCGAGGTACCTCAGGTACACGGTGTCTACTTGGATCTCCAGAAAAAGGTACCTGGCCAAGTGACTTTGGCGCCCCTCCTCAATCCTCACCTTTACGTTCCTCCCAGGCCGTCAACGCCGCTCCAACAATCCCCGTCAAAGTTCCAGGTCCCAAATTCCACATCGCTCATTGCCTCAACCCCGGAACTCCCGTCCAGAAAAGTCCACACCTCACACACACCTCACTCTCACTCTCACTCCCCTGCTCGCCTGGCTGGACCCTCCTATTGCTTGTGTTGCTGGGTGTTGTCTCCAGTTTCTCCAGTTCACCAAGTCTTCTGACTGCCTGTCCTTTTTTGGTGGCTCATCTCATCCCATCCACAAAGTCGCCGGACTACAATAACATCCTTCTATTCCCACTTCCCACCAGCTCCTCTTTCCTCTCTCCTTCGACCTCTCTCTTCCCACTCTCTCCCTTCCATTCTCCTTTTTTCTGACACATCTTTTAGAACTTCTGTCCTAGCCACAAGACAGAAGAAGGAAGCATCTTGTCTTACCAAGCTTGCCCCCAATTCAAAACCAGGTACGTTGGCTCTGTTGCTGCTTGCTCGCTGGCTGGCTGGCTGGCTGCTTTCTACGGAAAACCAGGCAGTTAGTTGAGCGCGCAATCTCTCTCCCCTTGGCTCAGCCCAGTTGCTCTCGCCCGCCTCTCCCTGGCACCCTTCTCGCGCCGCCCATTTTAACCCCTGGCGTTGCCTGCATTCCTCACCCCCCCCCCCCCCAATATTCTTCCCCCATCTTAGTGCTGCTCTCGCGCTCGATTTCCCCAACAAGAAACTTTTTTGAATCCCCGCGAGAGAGAGGTGTTTTTGGCTAACAATACGTCGTTTCCCGACTTTCTAGAGACTCGAACACATCTCTGTTCTACACCTCCGCCACGATCAATTGCTCTGCCTATACCCCATACTGTTCTTTGCTGCAGAGACAGAATCCAACCAAATTAATCTCCTGCTCGAATCTTCCCCCTTCGAGCAACCCAACAACTCCCCGACGACCCCCACGTCATAACACCCCGAATCGAAGCTCCCTGAGAAGAACCCGCCCCGATTCATGACGGTCACATTCTGAGATACCCGCGAATTTCCCACAACACAAACACAATCACACCGCAATCATGACCGAAATCACAGCAGCCAACGGCACTGGCCGGACTGTGCCTGTAGCTAACGGCAAGGCAACATATGCTGAGAAGCACAAAATCGCCGACCACTTCATCGGCGGCAACAAGCTGAATAACGCCCCGGCCTCCAAGGTCAAGGACTTCGTTGCTCAGCAAGATGGTCACACCGTCATCACCAACGTGCGTTGAGCCCCAATTTTCGCCCTAATTGCGTAGAAGATCGTGCTGCTGGGTATGCAGAATGAAGAGTGTGCTGACCGTTTGGAAACAGGTCCTGATCGCCAACAACGGTATTGCTGCCGTGAAGGAGATCCGTTCGGTCCGGAAATGGGCCTACGAGACGTTCGGCGACGAGAAGGCCATCCAGTTCACCGTCATGGCCACTCCCGAGGATTTGGCTGCCAACGCCGATTACATCCGCATGGCTGACCACTACGTCGAGGTTCCCGGCGGTACCAACAACCACAACTACGCCAACGTGGAGCTGATTGTTGATATTGCCGAGCGCATGAACGTTCACGCTGTTTGGGCCGGATGGTGAGTTTTCTGCTGCTTCTTAGACTGTCGCCCGCTTGCCACGGTGGCTAACGCTTTCTTTCTACAGGGGTCACGCTTCCGAAAACCCCAAGCTTCCCGAGTCCCTCGCCGCCTCCCCCAAGAAGATTGTCTTCATCGGACCCCCGGGCTCCGCCATGCGATCTCTCGGTGACAAGATTTCCTCCACAATTGTTGCACAGCACGCCAAGGTACCCTGTATCCCATGGTCCGGTACCGGTGTCGACTCAGTCGAGGTTGATAACCACGGTATCGTCACAGTCGCAGATGACATCTATTCCAAGGGTTGCGTCACATCGTGGCAAGAGGGTCTGGAGAAGGCCAAGTCAATTGGCTTCCCCGTCATGATCAAGGCCTCAGAGGGTGGTGGTGGCAAGGGTATCAGAAAGGCCCTTTCCGAGGACGGCTTCGAGCAGCTGTACAAGGCTGCTGCTGGCGAGATCCCCGGTTCTCCTATCTTCATCATGAAGTTGGCAGGCAACGCCAGACATTTGGAGGTCCAGCTGCTTGCTGATCAGTATGGCAACAACATTTCCCTCTTTGGCAGAGATTGTTCCGTCCAGCGTCGTCACCAGAAGATTATCGAGGAGGCTCCCGTCACCATTGCCAAGGACATCACATTCAAGGCCATGGAGGACGCTGCTGTTCGTCTCGGAAGACTCGTAGGCTACGTCTCTGCTGGTACCGTCGAGTACTTGTACTCGCACGCAGACGACAAGTTCTACTTCCTCGAGCTGAACCCCCGTCTCCAGGTCGAGCATCCTACTACCGAAATGGTCAGTGGTGTCAACCTGCCCGCCGCCCAGCTCCAGATTGCTATGGGTATCCCCCTGCACAGAATTCGCGACATTCGTCTTCTGTACGGTGTCGACCCCAGGACATCCACCGAGATCGACTTCGAGTTCAAGCAGGAGGGTAGCGAGAAGACGCAGCGCCGCCCCAGACCCAAGGGACACACCACTGCTTGCAGAATTACCTCTGAAGATCCTGGTGAAGGATTCAAGCCCTCCAACGGTGTTATGCACGATCTGAACTTCAGGAGTTCCTCGAACGTCTGGGGTTACTTCTCTGTCAGTACCGCCTCCAGTATCCACTCCTTCTCCGATTCGCAATTCGGTCATATTTTCGCCTACGGTGAGAACCGTGCTGCTTCCCGTAAGCACATGGTTGTTGCCCTGAAGGAGTTGAGCATTCGTGGTGACTTCCGGACAACGGTTGAGTACCTCATTAAGCTTCTGGAGACTGAGGCCTTTGAGGACAACACCATCACCACTGGCTGGCTCGACGAGCTCATCACCAAGAAGCTGACTGCTGAGCGACCCGACCCCATGTTGGCCGTCGTCTGCGGTGCCGTTACTAAGGCTCATCTCTTCAGTGAGGCCTGCATGACGGAGTACCGCACCAGCTTGGAGAAGGGTCAAGTGCCCTCCAAGGACATTCTCAAGACTGTCTTCGCCATCGACTTCATCTACGAAGGTTTCCGTTACAAGTTCACCGCCACTCGTGCTAGCGTCGACAGCTACCACCTCTTCATCAACGGCTCCAAGTGCTCCGTCGGTGTCCGTGTCCTCAGTGACGGTGGTCTGCTTATCCTTCTTGACGGTCGCTCCCACAGTGTTTACTGGAAGGAGGAAGTTGGTGCCACTCGTCTTTCCGTTGACGGCAAGACTTGTTTGCTCGAGCAGGAAAACGACCCCACCCAGCTCCGCACTCCCTCCCCCGGTAAGCTCGTCAAGTACCTGGTCGAGAACGGAGAGCACGTCAAGGCTGGCCAGCCTTTCGCTGAGGTTGAGGTCATGAAGATGTACATGCCTTTGATCGCTTCTGAGGATGGTCTTGTTCAGCTCATCAAGCAGCCGGGAGCCACTCTCGAGGCTGGTGACATTCTGGGAATATTGGCCCTCGATGACCCCAGCCGCGTCAAGCAGGCCCAGCCCTTCGTTGGCCAGCTCCCTGTCTACGGCGAGCCTGTTGCCGTCGGAACCAAGCCTGCTCAGAGATTCGACCTCCTGCACAACACCCTGAAGAACATTCTTCTCGGTTACGACAACTCCGTCATCATGGCCGCCACCCTGAAGCAGCTCATTGAGGTTCTCCGCACCCCCGAGCTTCCCTTCAGCCAGTGGAACGCCCAGTTTGCTGCGCTGCACAGCCGTATGCCCCAGAAGCTCGACGCCCAATTCACCCAGATCGTGGACCGCGCGAAGAGCCGTCACGCAGACTTCCCCGCCAAGGCTCTGGCCAAGGCCTTCCAGAAGTTCCTCGAGGACAACGTTGCAGCTGGTGATGTCGACATGCTCAAGACCACCTTGGCGCCCTTGACTGACGTCCTGAACGCATACTCCGAGGGAGCCAAGGCCCACGAGTTGACCGTTATCAAGGACCTCTTGGCCTCGTACATCGAGATCGAGCGTCTGTTCACTGGCTACGGAACCCAGGAGGACAGTGTCATCCTCAAGCTTCGTGACCAGAACAAGGAAGACATTCGCAAGGTTGTTCAGACTGTTCTTTCCCACAGCCGTGTTGGTGCCAAGAGCTCGCTGATCCTCGCCATTCTTGAGGAATACCGCCCCAACAAGCCCAACGTCGGAAACGTTGCCAAGTACCTTCGCACTGCTCTGCAGCAGTT